AGCTTAAATGAGATTAAAGCCGAGGATTTTGAGGAGCTTTAGGTGTCAAATGAGACATCAAGGATGATGATGATGAGATGTCAATAACTGGTCTAATGAGGGAATGTGAAATGGTGTAAATGCTCGTCGGGAGGTGAACATATACTACACAATCGCTGATTTAAGTCGAAGATATTTAATCTGATGAAGGTTGGGTTCGATGAATGTTGTCGCCCGGTAAATACATTAGTTATGCACGAGGACAGTTTTGATCAGCTTTCGAAATTAACTTGGTTCATATTATCCACATCACAACAACACCAACTTATGAGGTTAATGAGAATGGAGTCTAGACTAAGATGAAGGTAACATACAAATGATAAGGAACGCGGGACTCTGGTTATTTAATACAATTTTCACCTTAAGTCATTCAATAATTTTTGAAGATCCCAATTTTTATTTAGGTGGTAAAGATGTGAGGTACCACCATTTATATAAACATATAAAGAGTTCCAATTTACCAAATGTGGGTATTATTTCACATTCTCCTTGAGGACAACACGATTAATTGATCCGTTCCACAATTGATGATATTTAGTTCGAGTTACCTTCAGAATTTTCTGCAACTTCTTGGAAAAACTGGCTGTGTATCAAAAAGGCGATAACATGAAGAATCACGTTTTTTTTTTGAAAGCCTCTATAGTTGCGTTTTAGAATTTCAACAAGATGTTTGTATTATTTGAAGAATAGACTACAAGATTTTACTATATTCATTCCAAGTTTTTAGTGTCGAGTGGATATAATCGGAGACTTCTGTTTCCAGCGCGTTGGTGTGGTTGACATTTGATTAGGAGGACTTAAAGCGCATCGGAATCACAGTGACGGCTTCACATACGCTGTTTGCGTTGTTGCTTAGAAATTCCTTATATAACTGATATTTCTGAGGAAATTCAGTTTGGCATGACAAATTTCAATAAAATAGTTCCTGACCATATAAGTTGACTCCGATCCATTGTTTTTAGGGAATGAAATCAGGGAATGTTCCCCCATTTTAAGGTTATTTTTTTTCACGAACATCTCAAGTGGTATACAGTTGAACTCGTTTCGTCATAGACATCTGATAGCAGGACTTGTAGAACACTGACATCTCAGAGTTTGATACCAATTGGGATGACCACTTAGGCTTGATAAGGACATTTCGGATTCTTGTCAGTCATCAATAATATCTTCAAAGCATTGCAAAGGAAGTGGAAATTCAGATGGTTTGTTCGGCATTCCTGTAGCGTTTAAACATAATTACTTTTCGTAGAACTGTTGGACTAACAACGCCGAAACTACTCCAGAGCTTGATACCAATTGGGATGACCACTTAGGCTTGATAAGGACATTTCGGATTCTTGTCAGTCATCAATAATATCTTCAAAGCATTGCAAAGGAACTGGAAATTCAGATGGTTTGTTCGGCATTCCTGTAGCGTTTGCTTTTCGTAGAACTGTTGGCCAGAAAAAAAAAACTTCTATAATTCGGATACGACGTCTTCCAGTGATTAGAATAATCAGGGAATATCCATTTGAAGTTACAACTTCAAAATGTTGCACATTATTTCTGAGGTGTACTGATGATGTTACTTATTTTGTGAGAATCCGATAGCAATGGCATCAAAATAAGCAGATAATTAGGAATATCTATGAAATATGTCAAAACGATTTTTCTTAACAACATTGTGTCTGCAACATGTTGATAATATTTCTTTATGTTGGCGTAGTACCATTGATGTGTGCTTCTAAGTATTCCTATTTATCGCCATGGTACGAAATTGTGTTTTGTTCTCAGTAATTGGGATGTAATTGAATTTATTTTAAGGATTTGTTTCCCTCGATGGCATTGTATCTGCAACATGTTGATATCGCTTCGTTGTAGAAGGTGAGTATCAACATAAATTTATATAATCGAAATTTATGTTCAAATGCCATCTACAATTTCCTTTTTTTCTCCACATTGTGAAATTTATATCATTGGGAGTTTTGAAGACATTCTCAGCCTCTAAATTTGTTTCAGCAACATGTTGATAGTACAAGACCCATTTCACTCACGGCTTCATAAATTACTTGGCAACATTGTTTTTTTTTTTTTAATTGGGGTAACTTTTTCTGTGGCATTTTTCAGAAATTAGAAATGGCGCGAAATTAAATTTCGAACTCTTTAATCGAGATAAAAATTTGAATTTTTTCTCGACAACATTAAATCTGCAACATGATGATATTGTTTCCTTTTTGGAATATGGTTATTCAGACGAAATCATTGATAATAATATCTGAAGATTCTGTACCATTTTATTTATTTCTATAAACTGCAAATTTTATATCGTTGGGAGTTTTCGAGTTTGTTTATGGTCCATTTCACTACTAATTTATACACTATCCGACAACATTGTTTATTTTATTCAGGATCCTTACATAGAATTTTCCAGCGAATTTGATCTGCAACATGTTGATATTTTTTTCGTTGTTTCATAGTTCGGAAATAAGTTTAAAGATCTAGAAATTCTAACTCTGAATTCTGTTTGTGAAAATGTTCTTTTTATTTTCTTGTTTTGAGAAAATGTTTTACTTATTTTCATTCGATTTCCAACGTTTACAATTGATGATTATTGCTTTCACAATATTTACTTCACTTCCACTTAATATTTTCTGATGAATATTTTGATGTTGTATTTGGGTGTATAAACTAACAATTTTGTTGCTGAGACATTTGGCAATTTCTTGGATGTTAAGGTTTTTTGTAGAGAATGACTTTTTAATGAAATATGTTGATACCATTACTGCATTGTAGCTTTTATCACCTTTCATTTGTTTCTGCAACATTGTTCTGCAACATGCTGAGATAAATTAGCAATAATGTTTCGGGAAAGTGTTCATTGCTATTTCAGTAATCAGTTCTTGCTTTAAGGATCAGATTTTCTTTTCTACGATGTGTATTATCCGCTTTCATTTGTTTCAGGAAAGTGTTCATTGCTATTTCAGTAATCAGTTCTTGCTTTAAGGATCAGATTTTCTTTTCTACGATGTTTAATACCCGCTTTCATTTGTTTCGGCAACATTGCTCTTCAACATGTTGAGAAGTCAACATAGTAATAATGTTTCAGAATATTAGTAATTTGACAGTTAAATTTGTTCTGCAACATTCTTTGTATTATTCCTTGATCTTCGAATTTTAGTAATTTGACAGCTGCATTTGTTCTGCAACATTCTTTGTGCAACAAATTGCTTAAAGTTATTGTCATAGTGGAGTGAATGAATTTTGTATATGGCGATGTTCCATTTTTCATTTTTTAAACAACTTTAGAAGGGATTTGTATTTAGATCTGCAACATTTATAGCCCGCTTCTTGTTACAGGAAATGATTTAGAAACTATTTTAACGTGGGTTGTTTTCAATGTTTTGGACATGAAATTGTGGTGAATCTGCAACAATGCTGCTGCAACATTTTTATCAGCTTATGAAACATTTTTTTTTTGAATTTAGTTTTTTTTATTCTCAATGTTGTTGCGGTAACTATCGTTTCAATTTTTCGACTACCTTTAAAGATCGGTCAGTTTTTTTACTCTTGGTAGAAATATTGCTCTTATTATGGAAAATTCAATATTGTTGACAACATTTAAAGATCTGTGAATTTAAATGTTTTACTTCCATGTTGTTGTTGCTGCATCATGTTGCTTTAATTTTTGGAAAACTTTGGAGCATCATTTTTTACAAAAGGTAGTATCTATGTTGACCAATCATGAGTTTATTTCTAGTCGGCTAATCCAATTTTGTGATGTTTGGTTTATTTTAATTGAGCCATTGATGTTCATGACTTTTCCAATCAATTGTGTTTTCCTTTTTTTGCATTTTAAACCATTTTCTTCCTTCTTCGCCCTCTTCTCTCCATCAGTGATAAATTAATTACATTTCTTTTGTTCGAGCTTGACATGTTTGCGAATTTTATATGGTGTACTTTAGATTGATGACATTTGTTGATAATGGTTGAATGTGTTTCTGCAACATTGTTGCTGCAACATATTGTTTATGGATTTGATGATTGTTCATTGGATATTTGGGGTTTGAAATGTAATATTTTCAGTTTAATTATTTGGATTTTGAAATACAACATTTTATATTTGTTAAATATTATTTAGAATATTTTTCATCGGTTGTTTCTGCAACAAATGTTGCTGCAACATTTTATTTTGGGTTTTGTTTATAAGAATAAAAGTTTACTGGGTTTTTTTTGGCTTCAAATAAAGGTAGTTTAGGTTATGTTTGTTTTGGATATGATGGGTTCCATAAATAGATTAAATTTTTTTTGAACATTTATAAGAGGTTTATTGGGGTAGATTAATATTTTTTGGAAGTTTTTTTATATATATGTATGTATAATTTCATAAAAACACTTAATTAACTAAACACATATATATTTGTTTATATAAAACATTAATTTTTTATATAATGTCTATCACTCTATTATTTAATTAAGTTGGTGTAAAATGTTTCATTTAAATTCAAAATCCAATTTTTTTTTTTGGTTTATCAAAATAAAATTTTGTATTTTTATTTATTTTTGTCACTACACCAGAAAAATAAAAACTATCAAGTCTAAAGATTTTCTGTTTGGTTTTGCTTTTATGTATATAAATTGTTGATAATTATTGTTGTTGTTGTTGTTATTGGTTTTTGTTATATTATTTTTCATTGAAATAAAAAATATTACACATCACAGCCAATTTTGATACTGACACGATGGGTTAAGAATTTGTCCTTGTTGTTTTTGTTTTTAATGTCCTTTGGAGTTTTCTTCTTCTTTTTTTTTGGTTGATAACCGGTTAATAATTTTGTTTTTTTTTTGGTGATTTGAATTTATCTTTTCTTGTTTTTGTTTTTATTTTTAATCATAATTTTTGTAGTCCAATTGATTGGGGATTTTTGTTTTTTGTTGTTGTCGATAAAACATTTATTCTTGTTTGATGATTGATATAATATGAAGGTATTTAACGAGATGTACTAACAATTGGTAGGCATTTGTTATCCATCTGGGAAATTACCAGGTCCCAGTTGAAGCTTATCTCACTTAGGCTCTCCCATTGTCTGGCCGACCACTATGATGATAACAATGAAAACGGCCAGCAGGACCAGAATACAACAAATGGCAACGGCAACCATGGCGCTATTACTCATACAACGGTTGTTCGAACAAATCAAAATAATCGACGGTCTTGCGAAGTTTTTCTTGGCGTTTTGTTCTTTTTAGACTTCTAGCTGAATTTTGTGGCTGGTCTTTAGTTCCACAGGGATGATGTCTAAATGAATTGAAAGCGAAGTATACGTGTTTGCTTTGTTTTTACACCACGAACACGAATCTATTTTTGTTATCCTTGGGAGGTGGAAAAAAGGTAAATTGTTTTTTTTGTTTTGTTTTTGTTAGAAAAGGTATTAATTTTCACTTTTGCCTATATTTTTTTGTTTTATTGAAGTTGTTGTTGTAGATTAATTGCTTGTTTTTGTTTTTATAGAGGAATTAATTTCCGCATTTCTTTTCGTTTTTTGTCCTTCAATTAATGTTGGGTCTTTTTATGTTAGACTCATTATATTTGGGTTTTGTGTTTTCCTTGGATGTTGTTATCCTTAGGTTTTTCGATTTTTTTATTTTTATTTTGGTTTTACGTATCTTCGTTTATGGTGTAAGTATCGCCTTGGTAAAGTTTTATTTAAGCACTGTAATTACATAAATTAATTGATATTCATTTATGGGGGTTTTTCACGGGGGGGAAATGAAATGTTGATTGACATTTTGTTGAATATTCAGCGGATATGCAGCCTAACTTAAATAAAACATTTACGAAGCAGTTTTGAGAATTTTTTAAATATTTTTTTAATGGAAAAATGCAAGACTTGGATCCTTCAAGAATATTTTATTTCAAGTACCATAGTGGTTGCTTTTTTTTAATTCAAGGCCCATCGAAGACGTAGAGTTTTCAAGGACCAACACAAGGCGTGGATTTTTTAAAGAATATTTTTGAGAAGGAACAACATAAGGCGTGGATTTTTTAAAGAATATTTTTGAGAAGGAACAACATAAGGCGTGGATTTTTTAAAGAATATTTTTGAGAAGGAACAACATAAGGCGTGGATTTTTTAAAGAATATTTTTGAGAAGGAACAACATAAGGCGTGGATTTTTTAAAGAATATTTTTGAGAAGGAACAACATAAGGCGTGGATTTTTTAAAGAATATTTTTGAGAAGGAACAACATAAGGCGTGGATTTTTTAAAGAATATTTTTGAGAAGGAACAACATAAGGCGTGGATTTTTTAAAGAATATTTTTGAGAAGGAACAACATAAGGCGTGGATTTTTTTAAAGAATATTTTTGAGAAGGAACAACAAAAGGCCCACTGAAGGCGTATGTTTTCTAAAAAAAATTTTGAGACCTTCTGAAGGCGTAGTTTTTCTAAAGAAAAATTGTTGAGGCCTACTTAAGGCATAGTTTTTCTAAAGAAAAAATGTTGAGGCTTACTTAAGGCATAGTTTTTCTAAAGAAAAAATGTTGAGGCCTACAGAATGCGTAGTTTTTCTAAAGAAAAATTTTTGAGGCCTACGTGAGTCGTGTTTTGTTTAGGGCCTACCCCAGGCGTAGATTTTTTAAAGAATATTTTTCAAGACCTACCCCAGTGGTAGATTTTTTAAAGAATATTTTTCAAGACCTACCCCAGGCGAATATTTTTTAAATAATATTTAATTATGAATTCAGACTTAATTCATCCTCTTCCCAATAGAGTCCTGTAACTTAACAATGATTTCTTTTTGTGTTCGTTTATGTGATTTATTATAATTGAAATCACCTAAAACCAACACCCATACACACACATATTTACATACTCACTTCCCTTCAGTTAACTTCACATCATTATTCACTAAATGCTTCACTGCACGCAAATAATTTGGGGTTTTGTACTAAGGAAACCACAGAAGAAATGTGGTTTGCAAACCACTATGCAAAGGAAAAGTTTCTTTTATTTTTATTGGTCGACGAGAAATCCTGCTTAAATTTGACAAATTGATCGAGGATAAAAAAAACCAAAAATAAATATTTAGTTTTTTTCCAGTTCGAAATAAAACAAACTAAATTAAGTTTAAAAGTCAAGCCACAAAATTACTGTGAATGGAAAGTGAGGAAACTATTTTGGAATGAATTAGAATCTGAGGAAGAAAATAAAAAATTTGGAAATTGTGGTGAGTTAAATTTTCTTCTAATAAATTAAAATAGTAAAATCCCCCTTAATAAAATGTTCGGATAGAAATGGGAAATAATAATGTTGCTATTGGGATCGATATGATATCGGCCTCTATAAAGTACTTTGTACACCTCAATACCCCGCCAAGCTCTTCACAACTCAAAACTCCATAAAACCTCCATTCATCGATCACAAGCACATTACCCCGTTCAATTAATTTTCAACATATTTAACCCCCTAATAATCTGCATTAATATTACCTAATTATGAACACTGTTGCAGTTTAAATTCTAAGTCATTTGTTACACTGCTTCCAATTTAAGGACATAATATCCTTTTGTAGCAGCGATCCGTTTCATGCCCCCAAGACTTGATATGAATTAATGACAGAACAATTCATTCAGTCGAGTCATTTTGCTGACGATGAACGATGGGTGGTTATCTGACAATCGACAAAAATGATGTGAACATGTAGATGCATGTATGTATGCATGCATGTACCCATACACACACACCCATGTGTGTGTTATAAATGCGAACATCCTCGTTTGCTTGTCTAGAACGTGTGTCAACTACATCAGCATCCGAACACATCATTGTCAGCAATGTCCGCAAATCACAGCACAAAGACATTTCTGGAGAATAATGCAGGCCATCGGGTATGATGACATTGTTAATGCCATTCATCACTGGTCAATGTGTGGTATTCGGATGAAAATGGGGTTATTAAATAGGAACAAATAAAAATATTGAATCTATTCAAACTGCGGTACACAAGTACTAAGTACAGGCGCAATTCGCTTCGAATATATGGGCCAAACATTTTATTTTGTCTGTTACAATTATGAACCGAACATGACGAAATATTACTCAGGGAAGGGGAAAATGGTGAATATTGATCGGACAATATTTAACGGGTCAAATGTTACAAACTCTTTGTGCGAACATTTACAATACTATTACGGCGTATACGTTCCATCAGGGAAGAGATTATTCGTAAAATTTGCCAATGTAGGAATGAAGAATGATTGATCTATGATCTGATATAATTTCTATTAATATAAAAGAATGGATATATATATATATATATATATATACATATTCTAATAAGGTTTACTAACATTACCACCGAAGAAAATGAAAATATCGCCACTTTTTGCCAGGTACGGTATTCAGATGTCAGTATTAGTTGTATAAGTTATGGACCGACTGATCAGCTTACTGGAGTTTCGTTAAAATTTCAATTTTGTAATGCTAAGTATTATTTTTTTTAATTTTATGTCCACCCCAGTTTTTTAAATATTAAACAAAGTGATGTTATATAAAAGTCATCTGTTATAACCCATTTTCTTTCCATCAACTTGATTTTGACAGCTGGCTATATTTCTTTTATAATTTAAACAACGTTTTTATCATGTTATGTTGGTCTTACTGTGTGTTGATGACCTGATTTTGTGGAATATTTATGGACCAACATTTTTTCAGGAGGCAGTTTATATGAGGGGTTATGACAAATAACTCAAACCAGAACCAAATTGTTTCATAAATTCCAATGCGAAAAAAAAATATATATATAGTAAAAAAGTGCCAGTATGCGTTGGCGATAGATAAATACCCTCAGCCTATGGATGCGGTAGTCTACGGAATTATACATTATTTATTATTCTCCATCTGTGGAGAGGTACCGTAAGAGGTTGTTTTATTGACCCAGTCTTCAGATTTAATGTAGGTTTTCAAAATACTTCGAACAGAATTTTATGACACAGATCGTTGGAGTGTTTTAAGATAAGAGTCTAAAATCCCACATGCAACGCCGATAAGGCAGTGGTTGTTTGTGTTGAGATTTTATGGCGCACACGATGGGAAAACTCTCCACAGATCAAATTCTAGTATTAGAACAAATAGTTTATTGATAAGTATTTTGTGTTTGAGATTAGGCTAAGCAAGATTTGCTTAAGTTAAGAACCTAAGGATAAATATTTTAAAATAAAATTAGTGCCTTACAACCACTCACAAAGAACGGTCGGGAGCACCGTGTCTCAATAATATTTTGTACAGAGGAATGATTTACAACCACTCTAATAGATCGGTCGTGGTCACCGTGTCTTCTTATTTGTTACACAGACGAGCTGCGGCTGTCTGCAACGTGTCTTAATTTATTATACAGATGGGCTGCGGTATATTGTATATTTTTAATAGTAGGTTTGGTAAAATATTGCAATTTGCAAACAATGGACCACAACGGTTATTCAATACGCTTTAAATTAAATGTACAAATTAAAAAAAAAGCCCTTTCATGGTCCTACGTATCAGCTGAAGTCAAGTCGTTCGGCTTGTAAAGATTTTATACCCAAAATGTGGTTAAATATCCAAAACCGGGGCTTTTATATGGGGGCTACAAGAAAACATGGACCTTCCAACTCTCTGTGCCAAATTACAGCCAGTGGGTAATGAATAAAAAATATATCGTATATTTTGGGGGCCTATACCCAAACATGGACCAAATCTTCCATACCAGAAGTTGTTTTGATATAAAAACCATCAAAATCAAATTTTGGCAGACTGTGTCAAGTGGTTCGGTACTTAAAGAGTTTATACGAAATATTAGGTAAATACTCAATATGAGGAGGGGCTACCACAAAACGTGTACCTATGCCGACAAATTTTGGATATTTTTTACACATTGACTACTTTTTGTGCCAAATTACAGGCATATTTATTGTAAAAACCAGTGAGTGGAGCAGTATCAGCTGAACTTCCACGAAAAACTAACTTTCTGTGGATTTATATTCTGAGCTTGGGCAATATTTCGCGATATTTGAACCATCTGGACCAACTAGAGGTCGACAATTATTACTAATGTTCAGTACAGTACAGTACTATAGATCGACTCGAAAAAACACAAAAAAATTAAGTTCTCGGTCCACTTCATGGTATCAATTTAAAGGCCAATCACTGCCCTTGGATATACCA